CTTTTTGTTTTTGACCGTGTGGTCAGAAGCAGTAGCCAGCCTTCTGGGCGTGGTGGCTTCACGGTGAAGCTTGGCAGCAGTTACAGCCGGGCCTGGATTTTCTGATGTGGTGAAGTGGAAAGCCTGTTGGGAAGCTGAGAGACAAACTGTGTTTACTGAGAGAGAGAGAGAGAGAGAGAGAGAGAGAGAGAGAGAGAGAGAGAGAGAGAGGGGGGGGGAATTGGGGGAAAGACAAGCTGTATGTAGGTGAATGAGGGTGTGTCTGTTTTTCAAGTGAACAGGTTTATGTGTGTGTCATTGTGTCATTCCAAGGTGGAGACCACAGTCCCCTTTCCTGTAAGTTGTTAAAGCCTGGTCAGATGGTCAATCTAGACTCCACAATGAGAAAACAACAACAGAGAGGGGAAAACTCCTGAATCTGTGTGATGATACATGAAGTAAAAGCCTGATTTTATTCTCCTTTTTTAATCTTTTTTGAATTACTAAAGGAGAAACTCCTGATATTGCTCCAGTGCGTACTTCATCAGGTGTGCGTGTCTACCTGTGGTGTCCTGTGTGCTGTGACTACTGAAGTGAGCCAGACAGCATTAACTATTCAGGAGAGAAGGGTTTCCCTATGACAGCGTCTCCCACTCTACTGACTTCTGATGGACACACTCATCTCTCATATCCATGGAAAAGCTTCATGGAAACACCTGTTTGTGTTTGTGTAAATGCTTGTTTGTACCTGATAGGAAGAAAGATGGGATAAAGCTACTCTTTTGTTTTGCTTTCCACATCGATCAGATTTCTTCCCAAGTGGAGATGTGGACTCTGTGTGTGTGTGTGTGTGTGTGTGTGTGTGCTTATTATACTATACTTGTGGGGTCTGAGCATTGAGTGGTCTTTAAAGGGTATGTTTGTGGGGATCTTATATTTCTAATTTTATACATTAAGCCATGACTTATTATTTAATCAATTTTTATCAAATGATTTATTTTCTGGTATAACAGAAGACTTGCTCTTTTTTTGTTAAGTCTTCATTTACCTTAACCCTTCCACTGTGCTCATGGGTGACCCCACCAGGAAAGCTGACCACTGAGCAGGGTTGACGGTGTAACGGAATCAAAGTGATGTAACTAACCAAAGTTGTATTTTAATACACTGTTAGTAGTTCACTTTTATAAACAGAAGAATAGGCTGTTTTTATCATCAGGGAGTTTAATTAAACACTCTGTATTGACTTTGAGACAATAAAAGAGAGAGAGATGGGATCGTTTGAGAATCTTTAATTTCTGAATTATAAATTCTAAACAATCTACCAGGACTACTCTGTGATGGATGAGAATGGATTCGGATGTTGTGTTGGTGCGTGTGTGTGTGTGGGTCTGGTTCAGATTCTCTAGGATGACGTAATCGAATCTGGTCGTCTTTGTTATGACTAGATATCACGAGGCTTATAAAGTGATGACATGAGCCGCTATTTTGCCGTGTACGTACCCAGTGGGGTCTCCCAAGTAGATCAGGAATTGCCAGGTCTGGAAACCTCGGATGTACGATGGAGCTGTCGGTGCAGCGGTCACAACGTTTCAAAACCCGTCTGGAGGGTCGGCCCGGTACGATTCAGCAGCGTCAGCAGTTGCTCTTATTTTGAAAGGACGTCGTCTGGTTGTTAAACGACGAAAATCTCCCGTTTCACAGTTCTTAGTTTAAAGAAAACGCATCCGGCCAGGCTGCGCTTGTCTTTAGGATGATGGTGAACAGAACTGAAGTCAAGATGGAACTGACTTAAAATGGCGTTGCCTTGTTTTATATCTCTGGATTGTTGATAAGTTTCAGTAAAGTAGATTGGACACTTGAAGTCAACACCAGATTCTCCTGCGGCAGCCGAAAGCTCTGATTGGTTGGAACAATGTGTCATGCGTTTCTATGGAGATGAGGATCAGTATGTCTGCACCGTAGTCCTGGTTTCATTAAACATAATTCATGACATATTTATTTCACAGATCATTCACTTGATTATTGTTGATCAACATCTGTTTTGCTTAATAATTCTAATCACAAATAAAGTACTTTGATTAAGTAAAGCTTCTTCTTCTCCTTCGGACTCTTCTCCTGGAATGTAAACAGTCTGAGGAACAACCCGACCTTGGTTTTTCTACACGGTGTTATTGTGCCCAGGGGCCAGCTGTATGGAGTTGAAAACCATGAACTTCATAACCTTACAACGGTTTATCCTTTGGGGTCCACATGGCAGGGGTGAGGCAGTGCTCACTCCTGCTCTATGGTCAACTTTCCTGGCGGGGTTACCCATGAGTACAGTGGGAGGGTTAAAGAGGTATTGGGCTATATTGTCTTGCTTTAGCACCCCCTAGTGTCGATTTGTAGAACCAAAAGCTGTGCATTCGTCTTTTCAACACCTTCATCTAACAGCTGAAATGTCTTCCCAGCCTTCTTTTGCGTCTACAAGGAGTGATTCATCAAAAAATAAACAAGTCAGCTGTGTTTATGATCTAAAACATGCAGGAGTTGTGCTAGAAGCAGACTGTAGCACCAGGTATGTCAACTCAACAGGTGGTGGCCCACCACACTGAAGTTGCTAATGCAGTATTCTGGCCAAAGGAGGCGATAGCGACTGGGTGGCCTTTCATTAAACCTGTAAAAGGGTCATTTTAACACAAACTGGATCAAGAAAATGATTCAAAAATATGAAAAAGTAGCAAAGTATCCCTTTAACAAATCTACCAATACATAACTTGATTTGTCTAAGACAAAATGTGATATTTTTAGTAGATAGATGGTTTTGGCATAGTAGATGTAAATGTTTTTAAAGTCTTTCATTACGAAATGTATGCTTTTGTTTTTTTAGTCTTGTGTGTTTAATTTTAATTTTTTTCAGTTTTTATTGAATAGACAATTTAGATATTTTAAGCGTGAATTGCTCAAATAACGTTTGCTTGAATCATGTTACTTAGAACTCGCTTGCACATTTTAAATTAAGACACCTAAAAATCAGACTTAAACTATGACTCTGGCATCATAATGAAGCTATTGAGCACGGGTGTCAAACTCAAATTCACACTGAGCCGAAATGAAAATCTGGGACGAAGTTGCGGACCAAACTTAATATTTTTGAAAAAGTGATGGCAAATTTGTACATTTTCTTCATCAACAAATATGCAATTTTGAACCTTTTAATTTGGAAACAAACTTATTTTTACATTAACACTGAATGTGGAATAACCAAATTACACACGAGCAAGTCAATTTTAAATACAAAGCATCAGCGGCATTCATTACTTGTGGTATATTCAGCATTTTAAAAATCTTTTTAGGACTTATGTTTTCTTGTTGTTCATTCATTTTTCTTATTTTTATTCTCCTTTTTTTCTCCTGTAATAAGTGCCATCACTGCTGTGACATCTAGCTTTCCCCACTGAGGAACAATAAAGGGATTTTCTATTCTATTCATCTATTTGCAGCCTTTCCAGTTCCTGTTTTACTATAGGTTAAATCTTTTCTCACGTGCCAACAACAAAATAAAAATATGATTTTATCTTAAATGAAAATGCAATATCTCACCTGTTAACTTTCATGTTTTGGAGGAGAAAAAGAGCATAAAACCAAAATATTTAAAGCTCAGTTTGTTCCACTGATGCTCACCTTTTCCAGCCAGATAGCTGCATCATGGGGTTGAGCTCTGAGCTGAAGAGACTCCTGTTGTTTAGCTCATCTTCATCATAATAATGACAACAATAGATGACAACAGGTGCTCTCATAGGTTTGTGCCGCTGAACATGAAGAGCATCTGATCAGCTTGACCACGTTGTTGTGTGTCGAGGAGGAAAAATAAAAACTACAGCAGCCACAGAGTCATGCTGATTTGAGCGTGTCGCTGCTCGCTGGAGTTATATCAGCTCTGTCTGGAAGTTAGTAGGAAAACTTTCTCTTTCAGTAGTGAACACATTACTGAGCGGTTAAAATCTCAGTTTCTGGGCTTCAACGTTGGCAAATAGCTGAGTAAACTTGGCGCTGAGTGAGAGGAGTGTTTAGTTTGTCCGAGACAGCGGAGCTGCAGACACCGGCAGCAGACGCTGGAAAAAACACAAAGGAAGGGGCGCTTCAGCTCCACGCTAACGCCGCAAAGCATCATGGGAGTTGTAGTCTTTGCGTTAAAATCAGCCAGCGGGTCAGTTTTAATATATTTTTTATATTTATCTCACGGGCCACATAAAAATGCTCCGCGGGCCAGATTGTGTCTGACACATGTGCTATTGAGAGTGAATAGATTGCATCTATTTTAATTAACCACAATCAGCTTTAGGAATCATTAATAATAACTGCCCTAAAGATCCCTTTAACACGTTATTTATCAAACGCAAAGTGCTGCACACGCCAAAGTTACGTGCCAGAGTGTTAGCCTGCATGTGCAGCTTACGTTACTGTATTTTTATATCCTCATTGTCACAAAGATCACCGCTTAGAATGTGTCCCAAACATTTCACTTTTTCACCTCTTCCAGGTCCTCTTTTGTTGCAGCAATCATGACTACACTTGTTTTTGGGGTGTTAAACATGATGTCAAAGTGTTCACCATACCTTGCACAAACCCTGAGCGGCTGCTGCAAACCAACACTGTAGGGACACAAGAGGACTAGGTCATCTGCATGCATTAAGTGAATAAAATAATGTACAAAGTTAGTAAAAATACATTACCAACCAATATTTAGAAAAGATTTGCAAAGAGAGTAAGTAGTAATAATCTGAAAGGAACTAAATTCATAACTAAAATTAAGAAATTGAGTATATGGTGTAAAATTATGGCACAAGGAAAATGAAGAAGAACAAAGAAATAAAATATTCAACGTCAATCAATATATTAAAGTGTTTTGAAATAATAAATGAAAATAAATGTAATTTTCCTACAGATCACAGCCACATAAAACCATAAAAAGTTCTTGTGTAGAGGTACGTTTGACTGTTTTACTTACTGCCCGTTATTCCCCTCTTTCTGTGCTCTAGTTTCCCGAATGTGGCTTTTATGGGATTTATGACAAGATTTTACTTTTCAAGCATGACCCAACTACCAACAACATTCTGCAGCTGGTTAAGGCTACAAGTGACATCCAGGAGGGGGATTTGGTTGAAGTTGTTCTATCTGGTAAGTCATCTGTCTTCTTTCTTCTCTTGTAATGCTACTGTCATATACTATTGTAATACAAAAGCCTGCTTTCTTCCTTCTTCCTGCTCTGCTTTAAATCAACCCCATTTTTATTATACAACAGATTTGATGTCATATTGGATGAATTAGTAATTTGTTTCTAATTGTTTTTGCCATCAGAAAAAAACTCACATTTCCCAGTTTGATTCAGTCCTTTCCACCATATCCTTCTAGATTTTAAAAATTTACAAACATGTGACTTGTTTCCAAACATGCACAGCTAACACAATATTGTTTTCCTCTGTTAGCGGCAGCCACTTTTGAAGATTTCCAGATTCGACCCCACACACTCAATGTGCACTCTTATCGAGCCCCGGCCTTCTGTGATCATTGTGGGGAGATGCTGTTTGGGCTGGTCCGACAAGGGCTGAAGTGTGATGGTGAGAACAAAAAGGGACACGAAGTGTGCTTTGGAAAAGTCACATTAGTGAAAGCTGAGAATTTCTCTGTGAAGTGTATGTTAACACTCATCAAATATGCTCAATCATCTTCTTTGACTCTTTGATCCACACTGCCCCCTGCAGGATGTGGGCTGAACTACCACAAGCGCTGTGCTTTCAGCATCCCGAATAACTGCAGTGGAGCTCGTAAAAGACGCTTGTCCACCACCTCTCTGAGCAGCACTCAGTCGCTGCGTCTCTCCACCACCGAGTCAGTGTACAGCTTGGGATCATCCTCCACCTGCAGTGAAGAAATCAGCCTTATTCGCACTCACACGCAAATGGTAAATCATTCACAAAACGCCAGGATCACCTTAGGCAAATTAGTTTGAACTACTCTTCTCTTGTTTGCATCTTATTTTAATGCTATGTGATACTTTAGTATGCTTTTCTTTTTTTCTGGATGGCTTGAACACATTTTGATAACAGTTTATGTAAGTTCAAATGTTCTGGAAACACAGACGTGAGTTCTCAGGCTTTTAAAACTTCCACATATTTTTCATTTGAACTTCTACCAAAGACATGCTGATAGATATCTGCAAACCTCCAAATCAGCCTGCAGGACAGCATTCCACTAAAGTTGATGATGAGTACTGTAATTTGTACTACTTCTTAAAATGTCTAGACCAGTCACAGCAGAAACTTTACTTGATTTCTCTTGGTGATTCATTTCAGTTATGACTAGCCTTGGAAAGTGATTAAATGTACATTAAACTATAAGCCTGGCCAGCCATCCTTTTTATGTGAATATATGGTCTGGCCACAGTCCAATGGAGGCTCTCAGTCGTGGGGTGGGATCTACGTTGTCTTTTAAATTGCCTTCCCATGCTATTGGATAACAAACAATGTGACGTACTCACAGCTACGGATGCCAGTCAACGAGGCAGTCTGTAAGCCCAAGTCAAAAGAGTCCAAAGTGGATGCCAAAGCTGTTTCAAACAAGCTGTCGCCATCTTTCTTTATTCGCTCAGTCGCAGTAATCTGCCCACCAACAGAGCGCTGTGATTGGCCCACCAAACAAACCGAGGGTTTGACTGGACCAATGGGGCAGTTACTCATTACATTGTGGAAGAACTAAACATTAACAAACATAAAACAATACATATTTTTTTAATTAATAAACACGCTGTGATTGGCAGCTACAATACTGGCCGGGGCTGCAAGGTTCAAATGGAGAGTTGCTGGACCATCAATTTTGCTTCCGCAAATGATGGTTTAGATTCTAGGCCAGAAAAATCTAAGATTTTCTTTTAAAATCTATGAAAACCAAAAACCTTCAACATGCAGTATGTCAATGCCTAATGTAAATTGCCACTGCATCACAATATTTTTTCCCTGCAAGTAGAAATCTGGTTTGTGGCCAGTTCTTCTACCTATTGTTCAAAAACATGAAAACTAATTTCATTCAGAATTCCACGACCATTTCAGGAACACTACTGAACAATGTATAGGGCCTCATACATGTCAGGAACACTCAAAATAGCAATTATAGACTTGAGATTTGATGTTTTAAATAACAGCTTGTGATGAATTGCATCAGATAAACAAATATTCATTTCTTTCTTCCTTTTTATACTAGCCACGGACTCCTAGTGATGCGCGGCGATTTTACACGGGCCGACCTGTTCACCTGGACAAGATGCTGATGAGCAAGGTGAAGGTGCCCCACACGTTTACCGTTCACTCGTACACCCGGCCAACGGTGTGCCAGTACTGCAAGAGGCTTCTTAGAGGCCTGTTCAGACAGGGTCTGCAGTGCAAAGGTAAGAGCAAACAAAAACTTTGCTCTTTCCAGATAACATGCAAAGTGTAGCATATTATATCATTTAATCTAATTACACAGGCAATAATATAATGAGAATTGTTGCATTTTTTTAGACTGTAAGTTCAACTGTCATAAACGCTGCGCATACAAAGTTCCCAATGACTGCCTCGGGGAGACCATTGGAGGTGAGGAAACCTTTTTAGTTTATTTACGTGTCCGGTCTTTGAGGATTTTATTTTTCTCATGTGCATCCTTCTATAGACAGAAACAACCCTACATGTTTTATCATCGTGTCTACTCAAACCAATACTCACTATTACTAATTTTTTTTATCTTCTCAGACAACAGAAGTAACAACGGTAAGTAGTATCACTACTCTGTACTAGTGCTTGCAATGCTGTAACCTGCTTTGATGCTTTTTGTTTCATTTTGGTATTAGCTATCAGAAGTAGTGACAGAGATATCAGAGAAGATTAACATCTTTTCATTGCACATTTTACATAATCTCTTTAAATAATGAACTGAGAGCTGTCTCTTTTGTGTTTTGCCTCAGACATATTGAGTCCCAATCCAGACACCGAAGTACCCATGGACTTTACCAGTGATTATGACACCTCAGACAAGTCGTCAATGGATGACTCAGATGAGGCCTGTAGCATCCCTGGTTCGTTTTCTCCTGACAATAAACAGGATGGGACCAGTGGAGACCAAAGGTATGGCTGTCTTCTTTGTGTCTTGTTCTCGTTTTCCTGGAGGTTTTATCCTGCTAAAAGGAAATTTCCTCTCAACGGTCACCATCAATGCAGTGCAGTTTCATTAGATACACACCTTTTTGCTAGTTAACATTCTCACATCTATTCAATGTGATTGGAACACTATTAGACTGAACTGTTTAGGTAAAATTATTTTTTGTGAACTGGCATCATAAAGATTTAAAAAAATATGTTTGGAGTTGTGGAATACTAAAAAAACACATTTTTAAAATCTTTTGTCTTATTATAATCGGTCAGTCTGAGTTTCTCACCCATCTTGACTTGCAACGGGGAATGGTTTAGTGTCCAGGAATCAGCAGCGAATGTCTCAACTGGTGTAAGCTAACCATTAGCATTAGCAACTTCACCACATGGCAGAACTCAGTCAAACGTGTGTTATTTGTGGAGCTAAAACACCAATGTTGCAGGCCAGTGGCAGAGTCGTGTTGGTGTTATCCAATAAGGGGCGAGATGTCCAAATATCAGGAAATAAGACTACAAAACCTGCTGTCTCAAGCTCAGCTGTAACGTGGCTCACATCTAGTTCCTGAAATGGTGCACCTGCTAGAGACCACTGCAAATATATTGATTAAACGAGTGTTACACACCATTCACAAAGTCACCAGTGACCTTTAACTAATATAAAAGCAATACTAATTAGTAGGGATGTGTATTGGTGAAATTCTGATGATATGACACACATCACGATATAGAGGAGACAGTTAGAAAAATTGCGATGCATTAAGCCAGATGATATTAGCAATTTTTTTAGACTAAATGTATTGTAGGAAAATTCAATAAACACTCCAAACTGATACTGTCACGAGTGGTTACTTTTATTGGTTCTGTTAGAACCTGGTTCCATTAGAACCTTAGAATACGCTGCGTTTTCAGGGAGGTTGAGGCCGCAGGTGAGTTTTATCGTACTGACCCTGGTTTGGACTCCCTAATTTAGGACTCGTTTTCTAGTTTAAGGTGAAATGAAAATTGTTGTACTTGTTGTTCTGTAGTAACACACTTTCCTTTTAACTCTCCCTATTATTTAGTGGTTTTAAATTCTAGGGCAGAAGTTTAATACTGGAGGCTATCCAGGCATCTATTATTTGGGCCCTATCAGGATTAATTTGCGCCTCTGTCAGCAAAGTGGGCGGTGGTAACTAGAAAATGATTCCTGTTAGTTGATCAGGCTAACATGGATTTAATCTAATTAATCCACCCTTTGAAATGGTTCCTTCCCACGCTAAACAGAGACTTTTTCACACTTGCAGAATAGAGCCTGTTTGAACCATCGAACCATTATGATATATAATCTTTAGGGTGTCCCGCTACCGAGGAGGAGGGGAGACTTGCTCCAATTATCTAAGGTATCTTTTCTTAATCTGTCACAGCCTGAAAACAAGTCCTGAAGCACAGGAACAAGCAATTCAAGGTGGCTTACCTCTCCTTTAGGTCTGGTCGGGGCTCCCAACTCAAAAGGCTAAAAGAGACCTTTAAGAATCGAGAACGAGGATTTTTTTTTCCAAAAAATTTATTTCGAAATTAAAAAAATACAAAAAAGGGTAAATATAAGATGAACCAATCCCCTTAGGAGGATGCTGTTACTAAAATCTCCCTGAGAATAACTGGGCGACTTGTGTCAACAGTAACTGTCACACACTAACTCTAAGTCTCCGTCTAAGCTCTCTAACTTCTCTCGTCGTAGGATGACCTCTTCTATCCCACCTCTACTCTCACTCTCTACCACTGCTCTGTCTCTGTACTGTCGACTCTCTCTCCAACTCTTCTAACTGCCCTTTATATATCATTCTAGAAACTGCCAAGCAAAACATTTTCCATAGTGAAGCAATATCTCAACTAGTCAAGAGACAGCCTAAACAATGTAATCTTTTGCCAGTTACATACATCTTTTTATCACAAGACAGCAAAACAATGTGATATCAGTTTCATATCTTAGTCAAACACAAGACAGCCAAACCCATATGATGTCTTGTTTGTAAGCTGGTCTCCGTCTCCACCCAAAGTCCAGAACATTCCACTGAGGACTTTCATTTCCTCAGATGTCTCTTCAGTTGGCCTTCTTCGGTACCACCTCTTCTGCTGTTTCCTGTTCAGTTGGACCACTCCTGCCTGATTCCACTAGCAGAGCGAGCTCGAGCTTATCTTTGCTCTCCTTATGACTTCGTTTATTACCTCCATTGTTTTTGGCACGCGAGAGCTTGCAACAATACGTAACCATGAGGTATCTGAACCATAATAGCGGGATTTACATTTCCATGTTGGAAACAAAACCCACTACACATTGCTGCTAACTAGCGGTCGGCGTTTGAATTGCACCAAAAGAAAAGAAAACACAAATGTTTGCATGTAAATTCTTCCAAAAGTTCAATACACAGCTTTTGAATACCGATATAATATCACAGAACAAAATATCACAATATATTGCCATATGGATATTTTCTGATATCTATACATCTGTCGCTCTCCTGTACAGTACTTTGGTTAGCTGCCATGCTATTTTGATTGTGCTTCATAAAAAACGGGTATGGTATGGTATGGTATGGCAAATCCCTACTAATTAGTGATGTTGAATATCAGCTTTTTATCAATGTCTGATAAGTTGATATAGTCTAACTTTTAATTTCTGATACCAGTTTAGACCAATATCAATATATGAAAAAAGAAAAACTAAATCTTTTCAGGTAGCTAACATCACATATCATGCATAGCTTGATTTTAGATCATTACATAATATGACAATTACTTCATTTGAAGTGACATTTTTCATTTCTAGTTGACAAGTTGTGCTAAACAAACAAAGTATCTTGTAAAATTTTCATTGGATCTATCATATTTTGGCCTTTTGAGTGAGAGGAGTTGTAGCTTAAGAGTTTGATGTATAACATGTGCATGATTTGTAAAGGTTGTATCATTAAAAGTAAAAACCGGCACAGCTAGTTACCAAAATTACATTTTAATGACGATATCGGCCTGTAATGATGGTAGGCCGATAATCCCAGACACCCTAATAATAATGAAGACCATCTAGTTAGCATTGTGGAAGAATTTGAACCCTCTGGAGGCAGGTGTTGCAGATTTGCAACAGTTAAAACCTACCAACCTGTTTACTCCACAAATGTATTTCATGAGCATTTTTTAAATCAGAAGTACCTCTGAAGGGCTTAGTTGTTTGTCCTTTTATCAAAACTTATTTTGAGCCTGAGATGGTTAGTAAACGTTCTTAAAAACCAGGATTCAAGTTCTTTCAAAGGCCTTTCCCGAGTCCTCAACACAAACGCTGACAGAAATCCATTAAAAAGAAATGACACCCAAAGAAACTGAAACACAGATCTGACCCTTTAAAGCAACAATATATTTATTTGTTTTTCCAGTGCTAACATCCCATTGATGAGGGTGGTCCAGTCAGTGAGACAGACAACACGACGATCCAGCACAGCAATCAAGGAGGGATGGATGGTTCACTACAGCAACAAGGACACACTGGTAAATCAGCGACCACAAACACTCCTTCTCTGTTCAGCAGCTCCTCTAACTGCAGTTTCAACCATAAACATTTCTGCCAGTTTTTATTACTTCCCCTTTCTTCAGTAATTTAGTGTACAAGCATGTGTTTGTGTGTGGTGAAAGATTAATGATGGCGTTGACTCAACAAAACAGCTCTCAGCAGAAATCTGGAGTCACTCAGTCAATTTCCTACCATTTTTTGTCTCCTAATGAGTAAAGCCTACTTTTAGGAGTAATTTATTCCTGTGTGTAATGTTGACTCAACTTTAGTTTTTAATTTCTGGCTGCACTAACACTGTTGTTCCTTCTTTCGCCTCTGTCTTCTTTCCTCCCTCTTCACCTTCACCCTGCATCCTGTAGCTTATTGTTTCACTCATCATGACCATTTCTAAAAACAACCCTTACATTTACACCCTGATCTCTGCCAGTCCTTCATTTTTATTTGTCCTGTGCCCATAAGCTGTGTCTTACTTGTGTTGTGTCATCCAACCCCACCTCAATCCTCGACAGAGGAAAAGGCACTACTGGCGTCTGGACTGTAAGTGCATCATCCTTTTCCAGAACAACACCTCCAACAAATACTACAAAGTAAGCATTGGTTGATCAATCGAAAGCTAGATGTACTCAGAGCGTTTTTCTTATTCCCCACTGAAACACCCATGTTCTTGCAGGAGATCCCCCTGTCTGAGATCCTGGAGGTGCGTCCTGCTACAGACTTCACTCTTGTCCCACAAGGGACCAACCCGCACTGCTTCGAGTTCATCACAGGCACCATGTGCTACTTTGTAGGGGAGGACCCCAATAGCCTTCCTTCTATGTCCTCCAACAACCCCCAGATTATCCCTCAGATGCCCCCCTCCCCCAGCTTGGTGCAGCCCAACAGCGGTATTGGGCGGGAGGTGGCGAAGGCATGGGAGGGCGCCATTCGCCAGGCGCTTATGCCAGTCATCTTCCAGGCAGCTCCACCTGCCCAGGGGAACACACCTCACAGTAAGCTGAGCATAATATGGTTTAAATTAGTATGGAGTAATGGCATTCAGTGAAAAGACACACCTGTGTAGCTCACCATCAGTATGTATAACCCTTCTTCTTTATTTTTTAATTTTAAGGACAAGCCTCTGTTAGCATTTCTGTGTCCAACAGTCAGATTCAAGAGAATGTGGTACGCCTTCTCACAAATATTCCTTTATTCTCTCATACACAGTCAGACGTCAAGAAAACTTAATGGAAATTTGATTTTTGCAGGATATTGGTACAGTGTACCAGATATTTGCTGATGAAGTACTGGGATCTGGGCAGTTTGGTATAGTATACGGAGGTATGTAAACACCATTGATGATTTAAAACACTAGATTTCATCAACAAAGTAACTTCTAAAAGCTGCAGAACTCCCCAAGGCATATCAGGAAATCGCTTTACACTGACATCAGTTACAAATCGTTTATCTTATCAGGAAAACACAGGAAGACGGGAAGAGACGTCGCTGTCAAAGTCATTGACAAGCTTCGATTTCCCACCAAGCAGGAGAGTCAGCTGAGGAACGAGGTCGCCATCCTGCAGGTATATGCTCAAATTAAAATTTATTTAGTAATTATAGAAGAGATTGAGCAAAACGTTCAATAAAAGCAACATTTCCTTGTCAGATAACCTAGAAAACTAGTGCTTTCTCTGCTTTCTGTTGAATTTAATTGGGCACTAATTATCTTACAATGTATGGATAAATTTAAGTCGTACAAAATACATGAAAATTTTTAATTATTTTAAGAGTTTCTGTTTACGGTTTTTATTTTTTCAGATATGTTTCTGTCATTAGAATAAAAACACATGGAGGTCTTTACACAGAAATGCTCCTGGGTTCCTTTAGTCTGCTCATGCTTGACTGTAGAGGGCATTTCTTACCAGCAGATGGAGGCACATTTGCAATCAAAACATATTACATGTGCAAGCTTTATTTTAACTGCCTAAATCTGCACTTAAAACCAATGAACTTACAATGTTATGAAGTGGGTTTCTCCAATGTTTTTAAGAAGGTTCAGTTTCTTGTTGATTTCTCTGTATCCTTCTCTTCTCCAGTGTATGGAAAACTCCTTTCTTTTACAACCCTGCTTCCATTTAAACCCACAATATTATTTCTTTTTCACCTCACCCCCACTCTGTGTGTAACCTTCTAGAGCTTACGCCACCTGGGCATCGTGAACCTGGAGTGTATGTTTGAAACCCCAGAGAGAGTATTTGTGGTGATGGAGAAGCTCCACGGCGACATGCTGGAGATGATCCTTTCCAGTGAGAAAGGCAGATTACCTGAAAGACTCACCAAGTTCCTCATTACACAGGTGTGTGCACACAGTCACAGCAAAGGAAGAGTCACTGTAGTGTGTGTTGCACATGTATAGTCCTACTAGGGTTGTCACGGTGTGAAAATTTAATCTCACGGTTATTGTGACCAAAATTACCACGGTTTTCGGTATTATCGCGGTATATTTTTTTAAACGTGCTACATTTTCACACAATTAAATAAACCCTGTATGTCAGGAAATATTGTCCTCAGTTTGTGTCTAAATTTTGCCTAAAATGTGTTATTTTGTAATCATGTTGTTTATTTGTTTACATTTTTCCCCTTTAGTCTTTAAAATACCAATATTTGCCCATAACTTCTTATTTTATGTCTGTTTGATGTCATATAAAAATATTAGATCAGATGATACTCAGTACTCAAGTAGCCTTCTAATCAGATACTTTTTTACCCTTACTTGAGTAATAAACCCTATATCAGGAAAATATTGTCCTCGGTTTGTGTCCTTCCAGTGAGCTTTGCAGATGTGGGAAAATGTCATCAGGCAGTAATCGTTGTTAAATTCATAATTATTCTCGGAGAGAGACCAACTCTTATCTGCCCCTGGGAGCCCCGTAATGCATAGCGTCATTTCAACATGGGGGTGTCTGCGACACGGTTTATATGCAGGTAGCGGCGCTGCGGCTGCTTTATATAGCGACTTGTTGCATTCTCCCTCAACCCAAATCCTCGGATCACGCATTTTAGCTAAAACGCTAACATTGACTTGCCTTACGTTGACTGTAGAGTTGTGGGTGATGGTCATGCAGATGTGTCATGAGATTTGAAGCGTTGCTGCCTTTCACAGACACTTTTTCTGCACGTGCTGCAAACAGGATAGCCGTCTTCTATCAACTGTGCCTCGGCATTCTTCAAATATCCAAAAGATGCCCATACTTCCGACTTTGTCTTCTTTGAGGGATAAAAAATGTCCTGAGCGCTGCCGTCTCCTCCTTTGGCCATTATTTCAGCTTTAGCTTCAAGAAAGTTTTGGTTGTAAACAACAAAGCGCGCATGTGCCGCCGGCAACTTCAGCAGATGATATGGTGGCTGGTAAGGGTCACCGCGCCTACACCGCAGCCACGGTAAACCCACAAAGATAATATACCGTAGTTTTTTTTAAACAAGACGGTTATTATTATTGTCAACTTTTTTATCGGGGTTTACCACTACACCGGTTACCGTGACAACCCTAAATCCTACAAAAGTTGATATGTTGATGCTGCTGCATGAGGTTTTTGCTGATTCATGTCTTTGCGGGGACGTTTTTGCATATGTGAACAGATTCTTGCAGCTCTCAGACATCTCCACTTCAAAAACATTGTTCACTGTGATCTGAAACCAGAGAACGTGCTGCTGGCCTCTGCGGATCCTTTTCCACAGGTGCAAACACACACACACACACACGCTGTACGAGCTATGTTTTAGTGCTGCATTTATAGTTTTCACACTCTGCGATGAGCTTATCAGACCATTTGGGTGAAGCTGCTCTGACATCTTACGTCTGTGGTTATTTGAATTTGGTTTAAAGTTTGTGTTTTCCTCAGGTGAAGCTCTGCGACTTTGGCTTTGCTCGGATCATTGGCGAGAAGTCCTTCCGTCGCTCTGTGGTTGGTACACCTGCCTATCTGGCCCCAGAGGTTCTGCTCAACCAGGGCTACAATCGTTCTCTGGACATGTGGTCAGTCGGTGTTATCATGTACGTCAGCCTCAGTGGGACTTTCCCATTCAACGAGGATGAGGACATCAACGATCAGATTCAAAATGCAGCCTTCATGTACCCCACGAACCCCTGGAACCAGATCTCTAAGGACGGTAAATGAAGAGCAGCAGGAAGCTGGATTATATTGAAGTGCCACATTAGTTTGAGCAATGAGGCACTTCCTCTATTTAAGTTTAATGTACACATTTCAGGAAAACCAGAATATTACTCTGTTAGTATTTAAGAATTGTGTTTCAGGTTTCAACACAGCCATGAAAATAATGCAAAAGAAGTTTGCTTTAAAGATGGCTGCAGCCCCAAAGTGAACACCAGCCTTTTTATTTACTTTTGGTGATCACATACACAACTTAACTTTATGATTAAGATCACAAATGTATTAGGAAACCTTTCAGAAGAAGTTATTTTTACATTTTTATCAAAGCCAAGTTCACAGAAAAACCGTAATTTACTTGTTATTTTAAAATATGATCAGCCACTCTGAGTTTCACATGAATGCTAAATGTGACATTGGTCTTCTACCCCTATGTCCTGCATTAGGCACTGATGGAAAACAGATGGAAACTCAGATTAGAAAAGCAGCACATCGTAATGTAAAATTAGCATTCATGGCTTCACCATATTGACTCACAATGTTAAAGCTGTTGTTGATTTAGCTTCCAGGAGAAAACAGTGAGCATCTTGGGCAGTAGAAGCTAACCTCTAGCATTAGCAACTCCACAACATGGCAGAACTCCTTCTGGTTTATGTTATTTATCTATTTATGTTATTACTTGGACATAGAGAACGGTCACACGCATTTACTGAGTAAAATCAGATTATCACACTCAAAAGCATTTGGTATTTAAGAGCTGCCAACTCTCAGGCCTTTGAGCATTTGACCCTCTTCACACGCTCTCGACACACCTCCAATCTCTCACGCTAAACCAGCGCCTGCACTCCCCAAACGTGCATCACGCACAGTGTGTAGGGCTTATGAAAAATAAAAACAGATGATATTAATTATAGCATTAGCTACTGAACAACAAGCACATAAACAACACTTACATAATACTTTTAACTGGCATTTATTCACACACAGAATCCCGTCTGTACAATCCAAGCCAATGTGCTTTTTTCTGCTCTGGTTGTGAGATGGACGGAGCGGTGAGCTCCACTGGGACGGGCACACCTGGTTCTCCCAGAACCGTGAGCTGCAGCTGCACGTGCCGCCAAAATGACATGCTTCATTTAGAAATGCAGCTGCTTCGCCAACCGGTGTTGACAGAGCTTCAGTCCCAAATATTTCTCTTTTGTTTTCACTCATCAGCCACAGATCGCTCGCTCACAGCAAGCTGGGCTTTCTACCGTGGTGACTCACTCACATGTTCCCTCTCCCACATTAATTGGTGACGTGGTGAATTAAAACATTAGGGATCCTAACGTTTTAATGTTTTAATTCACCACTTCACCAGTGTGTTTTTCCTGTTAAATGGGATAAATACAATAAAGTTTATCTCTCACCAAACAGAATATTTACTAAGAAATCACATTTTAACTATAGACACATTACTTTGTCTTGTGTGTGTGTGTGTGTGTGTGTGTGTGTGTGTGTGTGTGTGTGTGTGTGTGTGTGTGTGTGTGTGTGTGTGTGTGTGTGTGTGTGTGTGTGTGTGTGTGTGTGTGTGTGTGTGTGTGTGTGTGTCTGCTCTGTCTTCTCGATCCCCAGTGAGTCGTGGAGGATGGCTCCTTATACTGAGCCAGGATCCTCTGGAGGTTTCTTCCTGTTAAAAGGGAGTTTTCCTCTCCACTGTCGCTTTATGCTTGCTTAGTATGAGGACTGCTGTAAAGTCACTGACACTAGTCAGTGACTTGATGCAATTTGCTGGGTTCCTTATATAGGAAACAATATTTCTGATTGGCTTAATGAACTGACCTGAATTGGAATGTTTATTATGTGAAGTGCCTTGAGACGACTCTTGTCGTGATTTGGCGCTATATAAATAAAATTGAATTGAATTGAACTGTTTGTGAGACGAAACCCTCCTCCATAACCAGGTTACTGGTACGGAAGCCTGGAAGGGCCAAAATTCCTCAAACGTTTTTTCTACTGCTGATATGAATTACATATGATAGAACAGAGTAAAATTTGTTAGTCCCACAGAGGGGACAACAACTCACAGCAGCACACACACTTAGAGAAACACATTACAGGTAAAACTGATTCCAGCCATGTTTGCTTTGATAACTTCAGTAACTTTATGCTGATGACCCACATGAACATAATCCTGTTTAGTGGATGCAATTACATCATGAAGTTAGCTTAACATGATAGATTTTTTTTCTTGGCAGGAAATAATAACTGGTAATATTATGAATGACATGATATTGCCCACCCCTTGATGGAAATTTAAAAAATGTACATTAATTATCATTTAAAAGTTCCTGTGTGACATTTGTGACACGTAGCTGTAACTCTTTATTGCGGATGGATGGATGGATGGATGGATGATAGATAGATAGATAGATAGATAGATAGATAGATAGATAGATAGATAGATAGATAGATAGATAGATAGATAGATAGATAGATAGATAGATGATAGATAGATAGATAGATAGATAGAACACTGATAGATAGATAGATAGATAGATAGATAGATAGATAGATGGATAGATAGATAGATAGATAGATGATAGATAGATAGATAGATAGATAGATAGATAGATAGATAGATAGATAGATGATAGATAGATAGATAGAACACTGATAGATAGATAGATAGATAGATAGATAGATAGATAGAACACTGATAGATAGATAGATAGATAGATAGATAGATAGATAGATAGATAGATAGATAGATAGATAGATAGATAGATAGATAGATAGATGATAGATAGATAGATAGATAGATAGATAGATAGATAGATAGATAGATAGATAGATAGATAGATAGATAGATAGATAGATAGATAGATAGATAGATAGATAGATAGATAGATAGATAGAACACTGACTTTCCCCCAGAATTCCGAGGTTAAAAGTCAGAATTCTGAGACAAAAGTAAGAATTCTTTTTTTTCTTGTCAGTGGTTCTAATCCTCAGTACAGAGTACCCCCCGCCCCCACCCCCACCCACTCTAAACGGTCGGCGAATTGTCCGTTCTCAACCCCATGACCCCGTCTCAGTCTTTGAAATGTGCAAAAGTTGGCAGCCCTGTTAAGTGGAGACTGTTTAGGAACCTTAGTGCTGCTATACTGTAGTCAGCCAAACCATTATAATTATCTGGCTGCCCTTATTGTTTAGTGACAATTAGTAGTTTTCATGTATCTGAGTTTCCTTCTGCTGGTTTAATTAACATCAAACCTAACTAAACATTCGATTTTCTCATATGTAGCTAATAAAATGCATGAATATGTATGTCAGCAGTTATGATGACGAAACAGATTTTATTGAAACATTACTTGTCCTGTTTGATAACCTTGAAGTTTAGATTCAACTCATTTTTGTCACTGTTCACAAAACTGTCTAAATGTTCTGTTTCCAGCAATCGACTTGATCAACAACCTCCTTCAAGTCAAGATGAGGAAACGCTACAGCGTTGACAAAAGTTTGAGCCATTCATATTTACAGGTGGGATAAAAACGCATGCCCTGTTACAGGATACAGTCGCTTCCCATCGAAGAACACTTCAGGACCCTGAGATTATAAGAGATAATCTGTTTATGCTAAATAAAACAGCAATTTATGTATGAGGACGTAAAAGTACAAATTAGAGTCAGAATTATGTTTTAATAGGCTGACTGTAGTGGGTTCACTTTGTAGAATAACCCTCCCTCAGGGATGCTCGATACTGGCTTTTTACACATATCTGAAATACCGATACTGTCTAACTCTTAATTAATCAATAAAGATATGTGTTGTGTCCCCTACTCATAAAAAAAAAGAAAAACTAAAACATTTTGCTACACAGGGCGAATTTCTACTTCACAAGTTGTACTGAATAAACTAAAATATCTCAAAAACTTTACCTCATATCTGTCATATTTTGACATTTTGAGTTACTGAAGAGTTTGATGAATAATATTTGAACATTGTGTAAAAGTTTGGTCATTTAAAGACTGAAAACCGATACCTATATTTTCGGATTTTACATTTTAATGCCAAAATCAAACAATATGAATGTTAGACCGATAATATTGGATATTTCTACCCTCACTGCATGTATAAGCCATTACAAATTTAGGGGCTATTTTAATTTTTGTGCCTCACACATGCATATAAACACACACACACACTCAAAACTGGCAGGTGCACTACAAACCAGTAAAACATAAAAAAAAGTCCTGTTTAACATCAATCTACCTCCAAGACCTCTGAAACAGAAACTTCACCTTGGTGTTTATTCTTCATTTTCCAGGACTACCAGACATGGTTGGACCTACGAGAGCTGGAGACTAAACTCGGTGGACGGTACATCACCCACGAGAGTGACGACAGCCGCTGGGAAATGTACGCGCAAGAGCACAGCCTGCCTTACCCCCCTCACCTCGTGCCCCTTCCCCCTGCCTCAGCCTCTGATGATGAGAACTGTGGGGATGATTCGGATGTGCAAGGCCTCACAGAGAGGGTCAGCATCCTCTGACCCAAGAGAGATGCGGGACTCGTTTAGAGGGTAGACAGAAAAGTGTCTAAAATCTAAAAAGAAGCTGGAGAGAATCTGCTAGAAGAGCATCCCGCTGTTTAGACTTTTATCCTTGGTTTGTGTCAGTTTCACTGCAGTGAATCACATTTCCCTTTTCAAGCCCATGGACTTCAGAACTCCATTTAAATCGTCACTTCTGCTGTTATTGGCTCTCTCTTTCATCTTTTGTAAAGCTGAACTCTTTTTCACAAAACACTGCCTCGCTCCATTTTCTATTCTATTTTTTGTTATTTACCTAGCAAGTCGTTTTCTGATGAAAACTGGAGTCAAACTTAAACGCTCAACTTGTCACAAGATTAATTTTCTCATGTCTGCAACCGACCTCAAAGTGAAACAGGAAACCACATCTCACCCGAAGTTTTGTAACACGAAAAATTGTGGAACTAAACATAGAAACTGCAAATAAAGTGGTTTACAAGTAGCTGAAACACCATCACAATTAAAGAGACAATGTGTAGTTTATACCGTTAATCTCTGGAAACTTCCGTCACAATGTTGTTGAAAATCAGTAAAATAGTTGAAAAAAATTGGTGGCTTTGTAATATTTAACCAAAAAAATTAGGTCTAAAGTACATAGGGAGGATACAAGCGGCCGCAATGAGTTTTCTATGCAGAGTGGCTGGGCTCTCCCCAAGAGATAGGGTGAGAAGCTCGGCCGTCCGGGAGGGGCTCGGAGTAGATTTGCTGCTCCTCCAAGTTGAGAGAAGCCAATTGAGGTGGCTCGGGCATCCCAACTGGGAGGAGGCCTAAAGGTAGACCCAGGACACGGTGGAGGGACTATGTCTCTCACCTGGCCAGAGAATGCCTTGGGATTCCCCTGGAGGAGCTGGCCCAAGTGGCTGAGGAGAGGGAAGTCTGGGCCTCTCGACTCAGACTGCTGCCCCCGCGACCCAACTCCAGATAAGCGGATGATGATGGATGGATGGATGGATGTACATAGGGCACGGGTCTAGCGTCTTTGGGGGATGCCGTATTAGATGCCATGTTTTCTTCTGATCGGCTCAGGGCCTTGCGCCTGTCGATGACATCACACTAGATGATTGGCTAGACCTACAGAAGTTATGGTACCATGTTAGAAAACACTTAGGCAGTAAGAAACATACATTTAATAACAAAACTTCCAACACCTTTGTGAAAGAACAGAATCGAAAAAGGGATGTAAGATATTTTTGCCGAGTGGTAGTATGACAACATCATCGGCAGGCTCAGGACCCCGAGCAGATCCGGAAACACACGCCAGAAAACTACAATCAGCACTGCATTTTCTCGATGGAATTAACTGAAGGACCATCAAAGTCTGAGAAGACACTCCAAGGTCACATGTTTTACCCTAACGTTGTTTTAAACTAGCGACATGGTGATATGGTGTAAAACTACTCTGAAACGTATGTACAGCGCCCTAGTACCAGTAAACTACACACTTTTAGAACTATAATTACTTGATTGAGCACATGCATTCTGTTAAGAATTCCCAGAAATACACACCCTGCAGCAGCTTAGAAATGAGATGTATTGACTTTTGCAAAATCATTTTTACGGTAATTGCCACTAATCCAAAGCCACGATAGATTTCTTGAAAAATGTGTGTATTAAAGATGTCGTTGTGGTTTTTAATGAACTCCAGAAACAGACCTTTATTACCAGACATCTTCTTCTCTTTCTTTTTCTCCCATCAAACCTTTCTGCTTGCAGATAAGAGCTTACACGACTTGTGCCCGAGTGGCTGTTGCTGCGTGGTGAAAATTGTTTCTATTGAGTGGACTCTGACTCTCGCTCGTCTGTGAAATCAAGCGGTCCATCGAAATGAGGAGCAACGTGTCTCTGCAGCCGGCTGTATTATATCGTTAATAATGAGCAGATAAATGGACAGATCTTTTAGCAGAAGCAGACTTGACAGAGTAGTCAGTTACTAAACTACAATTTAATGTGTATTTAGGCCAGTTATTGACTCCCTTTAATGTCAACATCTTGCATGTTTTATCTTTGTGCAGTAGATTTATTTAGATGTGTCTTTTGAACATGTTGTAGTTATGATGGTCTACTATTAAAAGGTGTAACCTGAACTTGATGTAGTTGTTGAAACTCTGTATTTGAATGATACTCCTGGCCTTTATGACAGAAAATACAAACATCCACATTGTTGTTTTTGTCTTTTATTTATCCAGCCACCCCTAACTCCTCTCTTTTTTTTTTTAGCATTCTCAAGAGTAAACACACACAAATTATGGTTCCAAATAAAACTCATCTCAGCCACTTTCTGACACCGCGCTCAAGAATGACAGTGAGTCAGGGCTGCTATACTGGAAGCTTTGAATCAAATCAAATCAACTTTATTTATAAAGTGCTTTCACATGCCCAAAATGGACAAACAAAGCGCTGTAGCTCTTTGAGTAGAACATCACAAAGAAATAAAACCCATCTGTGCTGCAGCAATTAAATTACTTCAACATCTCACCTCACTTAGTTATTTTTTTCTACTGAAGAACTGATTTTTTTAATAAACGTGGTAGGCATGCTTTCTTTTGGGATATACTCAGAGCCTGTACCCTCATGTGGACCCAACATGGATTTAATAAGAGATATGATTACTGTATTGATGCGCACACACACGCGCGCACACACTCACATGCAAGAAAAATAAATTACAGCCAGCTTTTCTCAGACAAAAGCAGGTTTTTCCACATCTCACAGATTGAGTGGAACTCAAGAGGACCCTGTGGCTGCTTAGGAGAGAAGAGTGATTTGTTTTCCAATCTTTGATGGGTGCAGTGCACTTCAGTCGATTCTGGTGAAAATGCATCCTCGTCTCTCCCTCCCCCTCCTCCGACAAGACTGCAGCCATCATCACTGCTAAATGATGCCAAATCATGCTCTCTTTCTTTCGTCACGTCTCCGTTTATCCCTTTTAAGAGATGGCTGTTTTGTGTGTGACCCATCATCAATAATATTTCAGGTTATTGATCTCTTATTGTCCAAGAAGAAGTAGTCAACTCAGAATGCAAAAGAAATAGAGTCAAAACTTGGACCAAGCATTGAAAATTGACAAAAAACAACAACAAACAAACTAGAAAAAAGTAGTCAAACCAGAAAAGGAAGCCAACTTTACAAGTTTTTCACTAAAAGCCGTCTTCCTCCAGACCTGGTATGATTATTAACCTTGGAACATAAAGGATACATTTGTGCTCGCTTTTAGCTTCCATGGCAACTGATTTAGACTTCAGCTTGAATGGAATGTGATCACAAATGGATGGATGCAGTGTTAGATTCATATCTGCATAAACTTTTGTTTATTTTTAATGTCAGTTTAATTTTTTTCCGGGTGGAGTACATGTTGAGTATTTCAGCAGTGTAGTCCAGCATCCACGTTCACTGAAAATCTTTACTTCCAGAGAAAGATCAAAGGTGAGCAATTCGATTTTTGCTTTTCTGTTTGTCAGGAAAATGTTTAATGAACCACTGGAAGGATTTTAATGAAACTATCAAATATTAATCATTAAATATTTATCTGCTGCTGTTAGATCTTTGGAAACAATCCACAAAAGTGGAGATAAGCATATATTTTCCAACTACCTACCTATATCCCTTCTGTCACAATTCTCAGAAATATTAGAAAAACGACATATTACCAGATTGGATGCATTTTTGAACAAAGAGAATATCTTAAATGGCAGTCAGTATGGGTTTAGACCAAATCGCTCAACTTCAATGGCACTACTGGAATTAACAGAACAAATATCGGAAGCCCTTGACAAAAAAAAACAACATTTGATAAGTATCTTCATTGACCTAAAAAAAGCATTCGATACAGTAGATCATGACATTCTTCTAAAAAAACGTAGTAAATAGGGCATAACAGGAACAGCCCTAAAATGGATAATGAGTTATTTACATGACAGGAAACAGTATGTTCAAATAAGCAACATCAAATCCAATCTGGATAATATTACTTGTGGAGTACCACAAGGGTCGGTACTAGGCCCTAAACTATTTATTATTTTTATAAATGATATTGTCTCTACATCTACTACCGGTATGTTAAAGTGTATTTTATTTGCAGACGACACAACTTTTTATTATTCAGGAGACAATATTGATCATACGATAGAAGTGATACAGAGTTGGAAAAAATCAAATTATGGTTCGATGGAAATAAGCTTTCATTGAACACAGATAAAACATATTTTATGATATTCAGTAATAGAAAGTTGAATATAAAAACATTAATAAAATTAGACGAACTCTGTATTAAAAGAGTAAAGGAAGTTAAATTTTTGGGAGTCACCATTGATGAGGATTTATCTTGGAAACCACATATATACTATGTCAAAACTAAAATAGCGAAATCAATTGCAATATTACACAGAGTGAAATGGTCTCTAGATGACAAATCCCTATATTTATTATACAATTCATTGATCATACCGTACTTGAAATTAGTTGAAATTTGGGGAATAACATATAAAACCTATACACATTCAGTTTTTATCCTACAAAAAAAGCTATAAGAATTATAACAAGAAGCAATTATAGAGATCCATCCAGCCAATTATTTATCAAATTAAAAACAATTAAATTAAAATTTTACGACCTAGTAGATTATACTATTTTGAAATTTATGTACAGTATAAAGTCGACAAAAAGCACCTTCCAACAAATTTAATCATAAGATTTATGGAAAGAAAGAGTAGTTATGATTTGAAAGGCAACAAAATATACACGATACCAAAACATAGGATAAATATAAAGGAACGTTGTGTATCAATATATGGAGTCAAAATGTGGAATAAATTAAGTACCAAAATCAAGAATACCAAAACAATATATACCTTTAATAAACATATTAAAAAATGAAATGCTTTGCTTATATGATGCTATGAAATAGAAGTATTTATGAAGAAGAGAGAATGAAAGGGAAAACACACATTGTATGTTCTACTTTGTTTCTTTTAGCTATTATTTTTTGTGCGTTTTATTTTGCATTATTTGTTTTCTCCTTTCATTATTATAAGAAGAAAAAATACATATTTGTTTTCTCTCCATTTTTTGCCAAAGCTCAATCAGTAAACCAGGTCAGACAGTTTTTTTTAACTATACTATCTTTGTTGTCATTTGTATTTATTTTGATTAAGGGGAACAGATAACATAAGTTTTGCTTTTCCTGTTCTTTTTTCATTTTTGTTGTCGTCAACCTGTTTTGTGTTTTGTTTTAAAGTTTGAATAAATGAAAAAAAATTTAAAAAAATAAACAAGATGACCACCTAAGATAATTGATAGTAGCAACGCATAAATGAACATAACTCAGTTTTGATGATACTGAGCTACATTTTAATGTGGTAGCTGCAACAGTTACCCATCTTGTAACGTTTTGCAATATCAGAAGATCCAACTCAAACAACCATCATTCCATTATTTCTCAACTCAAGTTGATCTTAACTCATTCACTACCTGATCGGTAAAGCCCTTCGCTGCCAGCGTTTCTCATCATTTTTACTGTTTTTTTAAGAGTCACAGAACGCTGCGCACTAGGATGATGTTGACGCCAAAACAACCAAAACAACCAAAACAAAGCGGAGACTCACCTCTTACATGAGGAAGAATTTGTGTGTTTTGAGCTTTATCCATTCTTTCACAATCAGTTGTTGATGATAGGCAGAAGCTTTTCCGGTTCGCGCCTCACTTTTTTTTTACAGCAGCGGCCCAAAACAATCTCCTAACACATGGATTTTCTGCTTCCTGATCATGTGATGTGTGCAGATGAAGATCGGCTTTAGAGCTGAGATGTTTGTTCTCACGGTGCGGGGGCTCGTTCTGACGCCCACACAGTAAAAAAAATGCAAATGACGACATTAGTCGTCAATGGCAGTGAACGAGTTCATTTGAACCTCTGAGAAGTGGTGGATAAGATGGATTCCTGCAAGTTTTTTTATATGCCTTTAATTTGTATTCATTTTTGTATGGCAGTGGAAGTAGATCACAATAATTACATAATTGAAGGCTTTACCTTGGTTAAATCCAACAATTCATTTGAGCACAAACTTGGACTTGTAGCTCAAAATTGTGACACTCCAAGCCAAGCAGTGTAAAAATTTCTTTGAATCAAAGCCTGATGTTGGTCCTCTAAACCTCTGAGCGAACATACACACACACACACTCACTCACTCACACACACACACACACACACACACACACACACACACACACACACACACACACACACACACACACACACACACACACACACACACACACACACACACACGCACGCACACACACACACACCAAACTGCGTGAGTTATTGATCACTGATAATGGAAACAATTCCATTTTGTGCGGGTTGGTTGAGAAGTTATCAGTTTTGAGAAGTCTGTGTGAAATAAAAAGGTATTTTCTTCACAATTCAATTGCCCATGCTCTCAAGAGGTTCTCAGAAGTGTCAAGAGTGCCATACAGTGAAAATGACTTGACAAGGAGCGTGCAGTAAATGGTAAATGCTCTGAACTTACACAAAACCTTTAACCTGAGTTTGGTGCTGAACGATGTTTCTCCTTCATCACAGAAAACCTTAGAGAGATTTACACATTTTTTTCCCCAGCAGACCAAACAAGTAACAGGTTTAAACTAGAGATCGTTATTCGATATTCTATGATTTTATTTTTGTTGTTTGCTTATTCATATTTAAGTAGCATTGATGACTTTTATTCAGCAATAGTGTATGGTGTTTTAGCACTATAGCTACATTCCCCCAGAGTCACTCTTTGATTTGAAAGCTGTTGCACTGAATTGCATCACATGGGCATCTATAAAACGCATGGACAAATCTTGGAGCAGCTCGTCAAGAGAGGTTTTATTTCACATGACATACTTGTCTACAGGAATACGGGTTGGCGAGCTTAAAGTAGAGGTTCTCCGACACAGACAAAAGATGTCAACAGAAGTGATTTGTTTGTCTGATTAGGAAGGTTAATTTCCTTCTTGAGATTTTCTTGCAGCTTTCACTGTTTGGAGCCCCTAGGGCAGATCCAGAATTCACTGGAAAGATAATATATCCTTGCTGGCCCGCGATATCTTTGAGATTCATCAGGATGAGCTTGATGGTGTCACTAGGGAGAGCAACGGCTTGGTTTTTGTTCTGAACTTGGTAC